ATATTTACAAAATAATATTTAATTGAAATTGGATGTTAATTGTGAAAATTGGTAAATTGTTGGTGACTAAATCAAATTTATGAGAGTTTATAGGCCATTTTAGAAGTGAAGGAAATCCAAGGACCAAGCCTTGAATTTACCCTAAAACTGTCGGCAGCTTTGATTATAAGTGTGCATTTGGTTCTGATTTTCAGAACCAAAATGCTCCCAATTTTCCTTTCCCATACGCAGTTTCCAACTCCGATTCCGACGTCGTCCAAATTCCGATCGTCGTTTTAAAATCACCGTTGTCATCATCGAGCGTGGAACAAATCCTTCAATTTAATTGAAGTGAAACGCTGTCAAACGTCGGGAATTTACAGTCAAAGTCTCGACGTTTTTGTTAGCTCTATCGTCGGGAAAATCTTAAATTTACCGCCGATCGTTGCTCTGTTTACGACACCTCCTGCACCATCGTGTTCCTTGTGTCGTTTCGAGTCCGCCGGTGTCAACCTTGTTCGCCGTCGACGGCGGCGCGTGAGGAGGTGGAGCAGTCAAAGATTCGACCGAGTTGAAATCGAGCTCTCTGCCGTTCAAAAATTTGAACCGATCTTTGTAAGTATCTCGAAATCGCTTAAAATATTTTTTAGAAAATTTTCCGGAATTTTTAGACCCCCGGAGGAGGCCTCACGCGCCGCACGCGCCGCCGCAGGGAGAGTGGAGGGCTGGAAACCGGTTTGACCGGTCTGACCCGACCCGACCGTTGACCGTTGACTGTGACCGTTGACCGTTGACTTCCTTTAACCAAAACTTAAAATGGCTTTGACCGACCCTTAAACGACCGTAAATTTTCCGAGTATACCTATTCTGATAGTTTTCGACGTCCTAAATCCGTTTCCAAAGTCCGTTTCATCAAATTCGAACCCGAAGGCCTCCAAATTGACGGTCAAGTGGTTGACTTTGACTTTGACGAAGAATCTGAATTTTTGAAAATTTATACTTTATGTTTTTCGACGTCCTGATTCCGATTCCGTAATCCGTTTGGCCAAATTCAGACTCGAAATACCCCAAAATGATAGTCAAACCTGAAAAATGCTTATATACTTAAGAATTTTAGCTTTGAACAATTAAGAGCGTGGTGAAACCTAGCAATCAGTAGATCTACTATCTGAACCCATTTCGAGGTGTGTTCCTATTTACTAAATAATGGTTTTATATGTTTTGAAATATGTACATTGAAATCTATGGTTTATTATTGTCGGTACACTGATTTATTGTTGATGATTTATGGACTTTGATGACTGGTATATGGATATTGATTTTGGGATGATTGAAATACAATTGTATAGCTCTGATCAAGCTAATAAATGGGTCTAATGTGACTATGAGGGCCCCAAGATGTTTCATTAGGTCGGCTTTCCTTTGCTGTGTGCTTAGGGTAAGATATGGACTTATTGACTTGGGCTTAAGGATACAAGCTTCATAGCCTATCCTTAAGTCGGTTTCTTTTGCTATGTGCATAAAGTAAGCTATATGAAATAATTTGGGAACTACTAGTGTACCAGAAAAGGGTTTAAACTATGATTTTCAAAAGTTAAACTCTTTTACGAATTTGTGAGATTTACTGGACTATGATTGTTTAATGTACCTATTATGATTTTATGGTAATGTTGGGACACACTGAGCCTAGCTCACCTTTCGAAAATGTTTTTCCCCTTTTCAGATACTGTTGGTTAGATACCTCGGTTCGAGCACTTGGAGGATCAACATATCTCTTGAAGTATATATGATTGTAATATTTTAAACTTGCAAGTTGACTTTATTCTGGTGACATGGATCTATTTTAAAGTATTGGATTTTATAATTATGATACTTTTGCTATAACTATTCAGTTTATCGGGGTTTTGATTTTTAAGATATGTTTTAAATTAATTTATTACTGATTGGTTTATATTTAAGAGTTGAGTTTTAATATTATAATTTATTATAATTTCATGTCATGAATAATGTGGTTTTACATTGATTGGATATCGGTTTCAAAATGTCTTTAAAAATCATGTATGTGATCCACTAGACTTAGTCGAAACGCATAGGTCGGGTAGGGGATTACATTTATTGGTATCAGAGCTTTTGTTTTAACCCTCGGACCGTGTATGAGTCCATATTGAAAATACGGTTTTGAAATATTTTACAAAACAAGTTACAAAGGCCATGTCACAAAATTATTAAGATTTTAACTGTGTTCGAGACTCCAAGTGCTTATCTAACCCTAATTTATTTCTGTAGTAACTTGAGATCCACCAAAATGAGTGCTAGACGTAGTCGTCGAACTAGCCGTGATGAGGTCGAGTGGCTAGATTTGCAGATCCGATTGATGAGATATGGGTAGATCCCCCACCTCCGATAGGTGATCTGCTCCTACGACCCCAACGAATCTGCCTCATGTCGCTGGTATTGGCATGACTACACCGGATCATAGGAGCGACCAATATTGAGTCAGAGTCTACCGGAGTTGCTTTGGATGAGAATTTTGGTAGACAATTCTACAGTTGATACAGGGAGCAGTCAGCTACTGGTGTTTATCAGAGTTCCTATTTCATAGACTTTGATTGCCAATGGAGTTAGAACTTTTGGGGGACCGATTGGTGGAGCTCCTACTGAAGCTGAGGATTGGCTCAGGATACAGAGAGACGCATGGATCAGTTGAGTTTAGACTCACTAAGATATATCAGGATGCTGTGGATATTAGATGGCAATGCCTACACTTGTGGAGTCAGTGACCAGTAGTGTTCCTACCGATCGTTTGACCTGAATTTCTTTAAGGATCGCTTTCGGAGTCGTTTTCTGGGAGAGCGCTATTTAGCTTAGAGACGTCAGCAGTTTCAGACCTGGTTCAGGGAGACATGACTGTTTCTGAGTATGAGATCGAGTTCTTGAAGTTACTGAAGTATGGATTCAGTATGGTACCTACTGAGAGAGATCGATGTCGTAAATTTGCCCTTGACTCAGATACGAGCTGCATAGGCAAGTTGTAACCCATCAGGATGAGATTTGATGTGCTGGTGGGCATAGCCAAAGATGCTGAAGAGGTGGAGGTTTTAGCTTCTGGTAGAGAGCGTGTTGAACAGGAATGATCTAAGAAATTTTCAGGCCCGATGGAGTCATCAGCACAGTCCGAGAAAAGGACTCGTACTTCAGTCCCTTAGAGAAGCATATACGTTTCAGGCCTGCAGCATCCTCACGTTAGTTGGCAGTCGAGGCGGTTCCTCGTCGTATTATCATGGGTTCCTCTGTGAGTTTTGTGGTAAACAACACACAAGAGAGTGTCGTAAGAAGATGGGTCTTTGCTATCAGTTGGATCTAGTGGTCATTTTCGGATGGATTGTCCTCAGCTAGCTTCGTTTGAGCAGACCGCTACTCAGACTCCTGTGCGTTCTCAGACTACAGTACAGACTCCAATTAGAGATCGTAGCCAAGTAAAGGCTCGTGGTTCAGCATCCAGGACTGACAGTAGAGCCCGACCTCAGCAAAATAGAGGGCCAACAGTTCTGAGGCTAGACAACCAGCTTTGGTTTATGCCACTAGACGTCGGGATGACAGAGATGAGCCTGAGGTTATAGCAGGTACATTTACTATTTATTTTATCTCATACTTTGCATTACTGGACAATGGCTCCACTCACTCCTATGTATCGAGCTCGATATCTCGAAACCTTCAGATTCCGATCGAGAACACTGAAAATACTGTACATTTACAAGTCCAGTAGGACAAGTGTATTAGTGAATAAAGTATTTCGGCGTTGTCCTCTCGAGGTTCAGGGAGAAATTTTTCTCGCTGATCTTATGGAACTTCCTTTAGAGGAGTTCGATCTAATTCTTGGGATGGATTGGTTGAATAAACACAAGGTAAATCTGGATTGCGAATACAAGCGGGCTACTCTAAAGACTTCATATGGTCGGACTGTGGTGTTAATTGGTGAACGCGTGGCTATCTCTCCAATATAGTTTCAGCTATGGAAATTGATCGTATGATCCGGAAGGGGTATACGACTTCATTGCTTGTATTTTGAACACTAAAGGTTCATGTTCACGATCGAAGAGATCCGTACAGTTAGCGAGTTTCCTGATCTTTCCAGAGGAGTTGCCTGGTTTACATCCTGATAGAGAGGTAGAGTTCGAGATAGAGACTTATCCGGGATCTGCACCTATTTCTATGGCACCTTATCGCATGGCTCCAAAAGAACTTAAGGAGTTGAAGGTCCAATTGCAAGAATTATTCGATCGAGGATTTATTCGGCATAGTACTTCACCATGGGGAGCTCCAGTTCTGTTCGTGAAAAAAGAAGGATGGGTCGCTAAGATTATGTATTGACTATCGGAAGTTGAATCAGATGACGGTCAAGAATAAATATCCACTACCCAGGATTGATGACTTATTTGATCAGTTGCGAGGAGCTACTGTATTCTCTAAGACTGATCTTCGTTCGGGTTATTATCAATTGAAAGTTAAAGGATATGATGTTGCCAAGACGCCATTCGCACTAGATATGTCATTATGAATTCTTAGTGATGCCTTTTGGTTTGATGAATGCTCCTGCAGCTTTCATGGATTTGATGAATCGGGTGTTCCGACCATATTTGGATCAATTTGTGGTGGTCTTTATTGATGATATTCTAATTTATTCTCGTACTGAGGTAGAGCATGACGAGCATTTGAAAATCGTTCTGCGGACTTTGAGAGAGCATCGTCTAAATGCCGAACTAAGCAAGTGTGAATTTTGGCTTCAAGAAGTGTCGTTTCTGGGGCATATTATTTCTGCGCGAGGTATTCAGGTCGATCCAAGCAAGATCGAGGCTATTGTGAATTGGAAACGACCAAGAATATCTCTGAAATCCGCAGTTTCTTGGGCTTGGCTGGTTATTATCAATGTTTTGTTGAGGGCTTCTCGATCATTGCTTCTCCTTTGACAAAGTTGTTTCCAATTCACAATAGCCTCGATCTAATTGATGCCTTTGACTGCGCTTCATACTTACGTGGTATGCATTATGTTAAGGAGGCTTTATTCTTGCATATTTGATGTGCCACCAAGAAAACAAATTCATAAGCATCTCTAAATTGATGCCTTCAGGGTAAAAATGCAGATGCATTGGCTCATTATTTTGGAGAAGATCCTGCACGTTGCCCATTTGAGCAAGGTGGTTGTTTGGTCTTAACAAGTCCAATTAATGTTTAACCCTGCATCATTTTAGGACCCAAAAGTTTATCAAGTCAACACTTCGTTACTTTTGATAATGGAAATATAATGGTTTTCTTTTATGGTACTAATATTTCTACTTATCCCCGAAAGCAATAATTTAACTGATGTTGTCCTAAATGATGGCTGTGACCCCTGCTTGATCTATAACCAATTGTTGTTTTCGCATCAGGATGCTATCAAGGTCACTTTGGATGCCTACAGTAAAGTTAATCTACTTTGGATATCATAGCTAGCATTTGTGCTAATATGTTTCCCATCTTAAGTAATTTGTGCTTTCGGAAAACTATTACCCTTGTGAATCTCAGCTGCAGTTTTATCTCTAGAGTGTATTTTACTCAGATTTATCACTTTCCCTTTTGTCTGCAACTTTTTCTATAGTCATGGCTACTCTGCTCAGCTTTTCGAGGATGTTTGTCAAAGCACATGAGGAAAACTGCAAGCAACTTGAAAATGATAAGAAGAAAGCTAAGGAGGCAGAAAATGAGAAGCCAAAAAATTAGTACTTCCATGAAGGAGTCTGAAGCTCTCAGCACTTGATACAAGGTCCAATCGCGAGCACTGCTATTCAATGATGGATTCTACCGCTTAACCTGACATTCTGAATGTTTTGCTCAGTGGAGGGAAAACTCTTGGAAGCTTAGACCACAAATGTATCGGAGAAGAACGCGTAGTCTAAGATGAGACTGCGAGAATGAGGAGTTGTAAATTTCAAATACATGCAGGTGGTGAATGGTGAGTCCAAATACTAATTTCAAATTGTAAGTTATTTAACTGCATTAATTCTTTAACATGTTTTCTGGTTTTGGAGCAGAACCGATGGATGAGGTTCATATTAGGTCCTCTCAAGCTACTTGTACGGTGCCAAAAAAGCTTTGTTGTAAAATATATAGGAACACAACTTTATATAATAGTTTTACTTTTGTTCTCCTTTTCAGTATATATATATAAACATTGTGTAAAATTTTAGTCAAAAGGAATGCAAGTGTGAACACTTTTAAGAATGGTTGTAGATTATCATCGATACAAATAATAGCATCTTCTCTTGTATGAAGTTGGGTCTCAACACTCAAGTGTACATATGGAGCTACCAACCTACGAAAAGCCAACTCATTTCTGGATTAGTATTCCTAATTTTAACAGTGATAATATATAACTCGGTATATAGCCTTTTGACTGTCATGGACCGGACTGACCAGCTGGCACGATACTGCTTAGGGTGGTTGAGAGTACCTTCCCAGTTGGCCAGGCTGTTCCACTGACTATATTAGATCACTCATCAGTATAAAGAAAATGAATTTCACAAAATGAAATGAGACTTTGCCAACTCAATTGACGATGAAAACATATTCCTTGAAGTCTAGTGATGAAGAAACGAATTATGTTGTCGGAAATAGCGTAGTTAAAGTAACAAAATTGTTGTATGTCGGTAACTCAGACCAGAGTCCGGGTTTTATAATAACCTCTAGCATTTTAGTTTCTTTTCAAGTTAATGAGATTGATGGTTTAGGCAGTCCAGCAGTTCGGGAACGGGCAACCGCGGCGGCTAAAGCATAAGGAAATTTAGTTGCCGAAGAAGACAATGATTGTCCTCCTGGTGATGTAGAACAAACATCATGATTGTGTCCATATGTTGCCATCACAATTCATCCTCCACGCATCGCTGAACCTATAAACAAAGATCCCAAAACAAGTTCAAGAAACAAGCTCAGTTTGAGCATATAATTTTACTATATACCTTCTTTTTGACCGGACATCCAGGAGCCACAGAGCACTTGAAATAAGCTCGGGGTGAGGGTTTGTTTTTAGTAACTTTCTGGCCATATTTCCTCCATTGAAAACCATCTTTAACTATCTGAAAATCTAGCTGTTACACACAGTAATGCTAAGAAAAGTAGCTTGTCTCTAGGGTCGTTTTCACAAAAACTTGTGACGCCTTAGCAACTTGAGGCCTTGCTCCCTTGTTTGATTCTTGGATAGGCTTCGTGAAGCACCTTATACTTGCTGCTCATTGCTTCTAACAATAATCTAAGCCTTTGGTTCTCTTTCTGCAAATTTTCCAACTCTGTTTCCACCTGCAAATTTTTCCTAAAATTTATCACAAAACTCTCTATAAGGAAGATGCATATCAAAGATGACAATATTCATAAAGTAATAATCAACCTTCCCTTTGTTAAAGTGTGGTGCATCCATGACAGTAGGTGAAATTAAAAGCAAAATCTTATTGATTTATATCAATGAAAACGAGAGTGGGTTCTGGAAATATTTTCCAAAGTGGAAAAGCGAATTGAGCCTTCCTTTCTAGTTTTCAAAGAGATTTTTTCAGTGTTTCATAATCATGGCCATAGGTATCTAATAAAGTGTATGGGAATTGATAACGCAATGGGTATGACATCATGTGACTGAAGTAAGCACTTAGATCTTAATTAATTATTTGAATGCATCACTTTCTTGTTTTGTTTTTTGCACCAACTTTGCTGGTTATGACTTATGGTCCATGGTGTTAGTGGACAATGTAGACAAACTCGTGGACTTTGAGCTTTCCCGTCTTCGTTAATTTTCTCTTTTCTTTCCGAGAAGAAAAACGAGTGATGACCGATTAACACAAGTCATTTAAACGATGGCCCGTTGCCTTGAGGGAATCTCTATTTTGGCCCAAACCGGGAAAAGTAAGTATATATAGACAAGTTATCAGCTGGCAGCTGCGAAGTTTGAATATAAAGAAATTGATTGACAGAGTAGTACAAGTCCCTGTACTATATGTATCATTTCATTTCAGTCCCTATACTTCAAAAATGACATTTAGTCTCTGTATGTTAATTTGTTCATTGAACGGCTTATGATTTGTATGTAATTGAGAAGGGAAGCTCTGATAATTCTGGACTGCAATAGAATATTCTTTTCACATTTTCAACTGAGCCAAGAAAAAAGAAGATACAAAAACTATGACTTTCTTATCATATTTGGTTTACAACTCGGCCTGAAATGGCTGCAGCAAGAGCTGCTGTGAAATGAGGGTCTCTAGTCAAAGAAGCAGCCATTTGATGAACTAAGAGTTGGTGGATAGCTGGTGCATCAATTAGTTGAGCTGGATTTTGGGTATCATCCCCCAATCCAGCTAGTTGCATCAAATCAAGAGTGACCCTAGGAGCTGAAGCTTTGGTTTGGGCAGATGCTGAACCCCTGTTGCTGCTGGGGCTTACATGACAGTAGATTTTCTTATCATATTTTGGTTTACAACTCGGCCTGAAATGGCTGCAGCAAGAGCTACTGTGAAATGAGGGTCTCTAGTCAAAGAAGCAGCCATTGATGAACTAAGAGTTAGTGGATAGCTGGTGCATCAATTAGTTGAGCTGGATTTTGGGTATCATCCCCCAATCCAGCTAGTTGCATCAAATCAAGAGTGACCCTAGGAGCTGAAGTTTTGGTTTGGGCAGATGCTGAACCCCTGTTGCTGCTGGGCTTAATGATCCTTGTTCTGCTGAGCATTATGGTCGTGGTTGTGCGCTCCTTCATATGTAGCCACTAATATCGGGTCTTCAACACTTCTTTGCACCTGGAAACCAATACCGAAAACAACAATCAGAAACAAATATTGTTTCTAGACTTGTCAATTCTGACCCATAAGATCAGCCTGAATTCAAATACCCGATACAATCAGGAGCAAGACTCACCTTTTTCTTAACTGGACAATTTGAGGCAAAGGAGCACCTGAATATGCTCTCGGACAGGGGCTATCTCTGTGACCTTTTGACCATATTTCCTCCACTGATATCCATCCCTCACAATCTGTAAACATCCATCATTAGAAGATTCAATCTGGGAAGAAATATTGAACAGCGGGAACTACCAGGCTGGTATCCGAGGGATTTGTGGGGACTAGAACCCTTGATATATTGGGTTTAACACACTCCTTGGGATTTTTGCTCCACTCTTCATGGCTAGAGCTGTCTCACTGAATCCAATCACGTGGTTCGTGTAATCCTCGCACTCTGATTTTCTCTTCTTTGATGGAGCTTCGTTTTTAGAGGTCTTGCTCTTTACTTGATTGAATTGGTGCTGCAAAGCGTAGTATTGTTCGCATAAAACTGTTAGCATCTCGGTTAGCCTCTTGTTCTCGGCGCTCACCCTATTCAATTCCTCCACCAAAACTCCACTCTGTTTTAAAGATCATTCACATGAGTGTTTACACACTTGTATTTGTCAAATACAATTACTTGCCTTGAAGTTTAAACTGGCCTCATCTTTAACCGGAACCTTACACCAGAGTCGGCCACATCCCTCGATTCTCGTTTCTGGTTTAAAAAAAAAAGTTTCAACTTTTTGTTCAAGTCCAGCACTACAATAAAAAACAAGCTTTGGAGGAAGGAAAGCCAGACTCACCATAGCTTTATTGTTGCGAGATTGGCAAGGATTGATGTTAAGATCCAAAGTAGTATCCACCCAAGCCGAGTCCATAACTGGAAAATCGTAGTATAAGAAGCAAAAGCAAAGAGGAGAAATAATAAAACCCAGGAATAGGGAAATAAAATATATAGACTCGAGAGAGAGAGAGAGAGAGAGAGAGAGAGAGAGAGAGAGAGAGAGAGATGTTTCAAAGGAAAGTTGGTGGAAGATGATGAGGATGAATTGAGCTAAAAGGTTTGCAAACATAGATAGATAGATAGATCCCACTATCCCTCGAGTTGGCTGTTAGTGTCAGCTAAAACATTGAAATTGAAAGTCAATTCCCAATCAGATGATGCAATTTGCATTACCTTTTTTGAACTTCAACACTAAAACCATAAGCTTCGCCTTCTTGACCTCAACTTTCTGCCTTCCACCTTCTTTCCTTTTTAATTTCCCGAGCTTTAATATTAACTACAGTAAAAGTAATAATATACATGGATGACACGTGCTGACGCCGTTTTATTTGACACACATTGTATTTTGTATTGATCTGGGTAAATATAAACTAGCTAGAAAGGATATTTGTAGTGATATGTAAATATATTAGAAGACTAGACGTAGGAAGAAAGAAGAGTTAAATTATGTTTCAATTTCTTGGTCTTGGTCTGGTTAAATTAACCCCCAAGATGGCAAGCTCAAAGCTTAATTCCAAATCACCTATCCACATAGTTTGAATCTAACTATGTTTTGAGATTAACTCGCATTGGATAATCCAAAATTTGGTTCTAATTAACCCCCATAATTTGACTACCAATACTCGATTGAAACCCATGTGAAGTGAAGTGAAGCAGCTGCACCTCTTTTTAATCTCCAATTTCCTTCATCAAAAGTAGGATTCAATGTCAAATGGTTTTGGCCAGAGAAACATTATAAAGACGCAGAGCCAAATGCCAATGAAGCATTGGCTTAATGGCAAGGTTGAGTACTTGAAAAATTTTGGCTTGAACTCATACTATGTAAATCATATACAGGTTATCTAATTGAATTATACATTTCAGTTGAATATTCACCATATATCTTATTCAACTTTGAATATATTTCTACTATAAATTTATAGTAATAGTTAATTCTAATGATACGATGAGCCGGGGTGCTCATATTGGGATTCAAACATGTACGAA